GCAATGCACCTGCGCGGATACTGGATTTGCAGATTTGCGGAAAGTATAGCATATGAGCGCGCGCCACAGCGTCAGTATAATGCCACCGCAGCGACATGACGGCAACGAAATACGTTCGTTTATATTTGAGATCTTCTCGTTTTTTTCACCTGCAAAACCTTACGCCCAGTTTAAACAGTTGCCATGGTTAAGATTGACGGAGTGACTAGAACAACGGCGAAGGTAAAATTACCAGGACGTCTCCTTGCCGTACACTTCCTGAAAAGCGATCCAAGAAGTAACTTGATAAACCGGTCAAGAAAGATGGTTTTCCGGGGTGTTCTGCAAATTGTTTTGGTTGGTGGTTTCTGTAGACGTAACTGATGCAATAAACTGACTGGTGAATTACCCGAGAATCAACGGGAATGCTGGGAATCTAGGTCTACGCGCCCGACGCGCTCATTTTCCCCGCACAAAAAAAAAAACATCCGAAGAAAATAACCAAAATAAAATTGCATCCTGTAGGCGCCTTCGTCAATACCTTATTTTTTTTGTTATTTAATTCTAATCTTTTAAACGGGGAAGGCGAGCGCATGTGGCGGGTAGACCTGCATTTCCAGAATTCTCTCTGAAGCCCGGCTAATTTAGCGGTACGTCTATTGCCTGAAAGAGTCCTCAAGCTGCCTCGTTGAAAGGCCACCAGTTAAGACTCGTTCACACATTAGATATGGAGGGTTGCGTTCGCGACAACCAAAACAACAAAAACGACAAGAACACCGTAACAATCTTGACTCATGATTGTTTCGCTAGGCTGGCTCTTGCGTCCCTTGCCACGTAGTGTACGGCGAACACTTTACCCTGCGATCTTGTTCTTACTGTCGCTCGTTTACAGCAACCGCAACCGACACACATCTATGAACCAGCTTTTACCCTAGATGGGGCTGCTTATAGGCATGACGCCGCGTTTCGTTTCACACTGAATCCAATATATGAGTATGGAACGTGTATTCTGCATCTTATTTAATATCCCTGTCATAACAGAACTCACGGACACTTCAAACAGAATGAATCTGGAGAATCGGGGAAAACAAGCGTGCCGTATGGGACTTCAGAAGTCGGCATCGCGAGCTCATTCTCCCCTCGCCCGATTGCCTTTTGGCTAAGTTCCATTGAAAATACCCGGTGGCAAGGGTATCTGATGCCAAATACCAGTTACGAATATAAGAACAATGTCCGGAAAGTGTCGAGAATCCTGAGGTTTCTGTTTAAATCACAAAGTTAGAAAAAACACTAAAGCCATTTTTGTTCTTTTCCCTTTCATCAAACATTACTGATCCATAATACCCTCGGTAACATGAAACGTTGTGTGTTTACTGTGGCGATTACAAAACTACCCTGGGGTTTCTTCAATCTTCTGTTAATAAAATGATTCTTGACTAGCGCATGGGACGACTGACAAATCACTGACTGATACAAATGGAACCTAAATCCTAAAAGTAAAACTCGCAGTCAGGTGACCCTCATTTTCTTGGTATTTTTTTATTGTGCGCCTCTATTGTATAGGCTGCTTTCACAACACATGTTTGTGCGCTTCAGTTTATATCTATGCTTTCAATATCACCAGCGTTTACATACAAAAATAAAAGCTAGATATCTGAGAATAAACAAAACAAAAATAAACAATGAGTTGAGAAAAACGCAAATATTCGATTCATCTCTCAAAGTGCCGCAGGATATTATTTCATAAAAGTTAACAAACAAACAATACAATAATTATAAAACATTTAAAAAAAATTATTACGTCGCCTAACCTCCGAAGGACTTCCAAGAATGCGAAATGTTTTGAAGAATGTTCCGCACTCTAAATCCAAGAGAATGAGTCAGGAATGAAGGTAATATTGTTCCCGCCTGCCCTCTGTAAAAGCCTCGGGCAAGTGCATTCCGAATGCTTTGTTTTGTTGAAATCAATTTCACGTAAATGTTTCTACGGAAAAAAGGAAATGATTTCTTAAATGCGAGTTTTCCGTGCCTTTCCACGACTTTCGTCACCCTCAAACTAAGCGTGATATTTTCTCTCCAGACCTAAATTAATAACAAAAGGTACCTGGAATGCCCGTGTTACGTGCAAATTTATAAGATATCAACCCGAAGACATTTATTTTCTATCGGCAAACGTGCGCCTGCCGACGGACGCGCGCAGAGTCAGGAATGCCAGCTTACTCGCCGACCCTTTAAATGCCTTCGGCCGGAAGACCTTCGACTTGCCCGTTAAACAAAGGTGACTGCACATTGTGACTTTAGCCGAGACTGGAGTTCTAAAGGACGACACACGCGAGGAAAGTTTAAACGAAAAAGAAATGAGATTCGAACGTCTGAAAAACGGGCTGGAGTGCAGGCATTTGAAAAATTGAAACCGAATTTTCGTATCCGCATATCTGGAAGCCTAAGAACCGACTTCATTTTCTCAAAACAATTATTTCAGAGTATTATATAGGTATAAACACTAATCACGTTTGCTAATTACTATCCAACTGAAGACAAGACAAGCTTTGGCGATCCTACCATTGGCTCAAACACTTTGTAACTTAATTTTGGAATAATTTCCTCCCCTACCCTTCACCATGGCCGCAAACATGGTGTTACTCTGTTTGACTCGAATATTTTAGACAGGTGACATTTCTTTACATACTCGCTTTGTAAGTGCTACGTGCGGTTATACAACCTAGGATGTCGACTAAAGCTGTTATTCGATTAAAACCGGGTCAATAAAAGAATGTTGCATAATGCATGATTACGAAACCTCTCATATTCTGCATTTCAGAGGAAAAAAAACGATCTTCAAAATTTGAGGAAACCATCATCTGAGAAGAGTACGTCACTGCTGCGAGCGAATGCTATAAACGAAACGAGGAACAAAATGTACCATGGCTTCCCCAATGCAATCGCAAAAAGGCGTGTGTCAGATGTATGGCCGTATTTCTTTAATACTGTACTTTAAGCTTATATTTTTATTTTATGGGACTAGCTCTACATCGACAGATTTAATATAAAACTGAGTTTGCCTTGTTTCATTACAAAATTAATCGGATTTATTGTGTTAAACAGCGAGAAAGGCAATAACGGGTTTTCTTTATATGTTCTAAGCTTTGTATCCCCATGTCTAGGAGTGCACCGTGATTTCTGATTTGTAGAAGGTGAGCTTAGGTAATAGCCTTATTATGTGTGTACAGCCAGGGTAAAATAAAAAAAAAAATATTTGAATAACACGAGCGGGGCTAGATTTTTCTTTTTCATTTTAATCAAGCATATACATTATATGTTTTGTAGTCACGAATAAGACGAACTGGAAACAAAACCTAACGACAACAGTCTTACTGGTCCTCTTCCATGAGTCCCTTGAAGCAAACGACAAAATAAATAGAAACCGACAGGAGATGGAGCAAACCGAGGAAACGGACACATCAAACTGCACCTTTTTGCTACTGACGTAGGCTTGTCAATCATGCTTTGTATGTGGATTCGAATTTTTCCCGTGTCTTATCGCTTTGCTCTTAAGACTCAAAGCGTACACACACATGACTGTTTCTTTTTGTTACGAGGTGTTTAGACATACGAAAAGTACTTTGATTCGGTACAACCGTGTAGCACCGATTAATTTTAGCGAGCGTTATTTATGCAGTCGGACGTCGTTCACAGCTGATTTTTTTTCTCTTTTCTTTGGGAAGTCTAATATGGAGTCAGCTTGGAATTAGGGCAAATAAAATAACACATCTTTTTTCCTTTAAAATCCCGAGTCTGTTTTACAACATCGATACTTGCGCGAAGAACCTCTTTGTTACGAGTGATCTACGAGACATCCCCTTCCAAGCGAGTTCCGATAAAGTGTAAAGAAGGGTTATGGCACACCGATCCTCTTATGGTGTTGACTATGTGTCGCTGGTGTCAAAGGTTTTGGATCGCTCTCTCCATCACTGCGCTTGCTTACCCTCGAGATTACCATTACGAGGCCTGGCTTGCTACGCATCAGCCCCTCCCTTTATCTTTAACACACAAGCCCATCCTTCCCGCCCATTTTGTTCTGTTTTGGCGTGTGTGCTCGGTTCTTTGAATTGCTTTGAATATTTATCGTAGTGAACCGGCCTACATTGTTATGGCTCAAATCTGACGTGGCGGCGCATCAATCCTCTCAGCTCCTTCTGTATTTGTCTTATGTTTCCTGGTTTGAAATGTGTTTCTTTAATATCAAATATAATGCCAGTTGTTTCTGACGTTACGAAATGATATTATTATGCAAACTGTTTACTGGCATCGACGGTCGCATTAAATTTCCTCGCATTTGCGAGAGTTTCGTTTTGTTCAAATTGCATTTATACAACTCATTAAAACGAGATTCTTATTTTTATGCAGCACACGCTCTATTCTTCGCTATCAATATCATATAGCGCGACCATCAATTTCGTTCCAGACAATACCACTTGGAAACAAGAGGCGGAATATATAAACAATTTAGATGTATACTTGAAATTGTTCTGATTTCATGCTGTTGCCACGAAATGTAAACTCATAACATCAGCTTATGTCTCAAATGAATTGAAATCCCTACGAGAAACTTGAACTTTCCACCCTTCAGACGTCCTGGCGTCCAGACAAGCGTGTCACCAGTACGCTGCTTTATATTAATGCGTGTATCTTACGAGGGGGCAGAAAGCGTCATAGAGCTTCTATTTATTTCTGAAGTGGGGCCATCAAAAATATTACATTTACATTAAACGAAAGAAAGCAAATAAAAAATTTACCGTCCATTATTAGGCATACAAAAACATATTAACGGTGAAGATAACTATTAGGCTAATTAACATCAGAACACAAGACCGAAACATTCAGCCCGCTGAACCACTGCTTACAAGCGAGACCTGGGCGTGCATTCAATATGCCCACACTGAGATGTATTGTGTGAATTTCGTCAGTCTAAACTTGACAGTGCGCATAACGGTGATCGATTTCTCTCCTTTTCGGCGCAGACTTGGATCATGAGCGGAGGGTGGTCCAGGAGAACGTGGTGCCGGAGCTACAGAGGCACTGCGCCTCCCTGGGGCTCGACGTGCAGCTGCTCGACCTTCAGCAGGGTCCGGACCCGAGGCTCTGTCTGGCCTCCACCACGCTGCAGGAGCTCGAGGACTGCCACGCCAGGTCGCTCGGCTGTTTCCTCATCGTGAGTGAGCCCCTGGGCAGAACCTACACTATTTACCCTTTTCCGAAAAAAAGTTTTAGATATAGTTTGGCATAGAGGGAAGGGGCCAATACATTACCGAAGCAAAAACAATCCACTCCGTTCATTTCATCATTCATCATTAGACAAATCGTCCCCTAGCGGAGCGGACATCTCAGGAGGCTAACCGCCGCCGAATCGAGACACTGGATTCGCCGAGACGGTCAGAACGGCTGTTTGAACTGGAGTTTGAGAAGCCTACGACGTTAAAAAGGGGCAGCCACTCTTCCCAATTCAAAGGGGAAAACCCATAGGATGCGGAGCATCCAGCCGTTTCAACTTCACAAAGCTGTCCACACCATGGTCATGGATTTTTTTTTGTGTGTGTGAAGTGGGATGTATGTTCCTAGTAAAGTATTTGGTAGGGTGTGCGAATACTTGCTCTATTTTAATACCTCAGTGCCATCTTTAGTTTCAATATTGTATCGAGGGCCGTGCGTTGTGGCTTTCTCTTCTCTTGTGAAGGCAATGAGTGACAGAGCTCTATTTGGTTTGAACCACTCTTCGCATACCCTGATAAAGGGAGTCGATAAACGAATAGTTATTGTTTATGTTTCAAAGTAAAAAACGTCTACCAAATATTCAGAGGGACCCACATCAGCGTCAGATGTAGAAAGGTCGTAACCAGTGACAACATTATAGTATAGCCTAGATCTCTTTTAAAAATGTTCCGCGTATGCGCGGGTTGTCCTTTGCCAAGTAATTGAGTAGCATCAAGGTTCGTTTCGCGGCGATGAAAAGTGATGCTCTTGTTCCCTCCACCATCCTCTAAGAGGTGAAAAGTTATCTTTCGTTCTTTTTGCGTTTTTGGAGAATTCAAATTATCTGAACGCGCCCTGTAGTAGGGTGTATCGAAAATGTTATTCTAGCCTCCAATAAAGTCGAACGTACTTTCCGCTGGACAGCATTTTATGCGGAATGTTTCCCCATAAAGACTGCATACTGGGTTTTGTAATCAGCGCAGAATTCAATATCAACAACCCAGGATGTGCCGTTTTTTATAAGCAAGAAAAGCCCGCGCTATATGCACAGACGATCAGAAAGGGCCCCGGTTAAAAGCCAGTTTCCTGAACGTAGTTTCCCCAATAAAATGGGGAGCTGGCAGTCCAAATTTGGTACACTTGCTTGAATATAATTTTCACTAGCCCACGGTAACTCTTCTCGGGCGACATTTGACGAAAAATGCACGGAAATTTCAAAGATATGGCTCGGCAGCCCGGCTCTCGCCCCACTCCAACGAAGAATGCAAACCGGAATTCGCGCCGTTCTATCGAGGGGAGACCCGTCAGCAAGAAGAGTAAGAGAAACTCTTGCAGTACCCCGCGCCTCTATGCTAGTGCAAAGGCAGGATGCTTCGAAACTCCTCTCACGTTGTGTGTGACCGCCTCCGACGTTTTTGACGAAACATAAAAACAGAAGAGTTAAGTGAGTGACACGGGACGTACCGCTTTACCACTGTGCTTCCTGCCTTTGTAAGCGTGAACTGTTCCTTCCATCTCCACGAGTGCCCATTCGGAGGGGACTCGAACTGATAAAAAGGCTGAATACAAAATGAAGGAGCGAGCGCGCCAGTGTGGACGCCTGCGAAGTTGACTTTAAAAATTCGTGTACCTTGGAATAGCTTCCCGCGTCCCTTAAAGACGCCAGAAAAAAGCGCAAGGTCTCTTTTTTTTTCGTTTTATTTTTTTTTTTTTGTTTTACGTAAATACTTCTGTCAGGGTTTTCCGTGATTCTGCAAAGGAAATGTTTCTTTGCTCTGGAAAAATCACAAAGCGACGCAATGCATTTCGCCTTACCGAAATAAATCTTAAATTGTGGAAATATTTTCTATCTCTAATAAACTGCAGCAAAGGAGCGTTTTCGTACAAGTGCGGTTTATTCAACGTGCAAGTGGCAGCGGGGATTTTTTTTTATTATTATTATTCGCGTCAAACATAATTGAGCATCAGCCTAGTTTCTTCCGTTTCGAATCACATAAGTTTCCGTCGTTCTCTCACGGCTCAGCTAGATTTTACTGCAATAGTAAAATAATTGTTAAAACGATAGTAGAGCGGAAACCAACATGCAAAGCGACGCCAGCAACGCCATTTGCTCCCTACGTGCACACCTTCCCACCTCCACGCGGGGAGTATGGGCTTCATAATAACACTCCCTCAACACTAGTTCAATTTGCTCTAATTCAACTGTTAAATTCTCTAGAATAGTTGACACCGGTGGCTAAAACAAAAACGGATACACTACGACTCTCTTTTTTTTTTTACTCTATGGTAGAGTTTTTATAAAAAATTAGTGCTTCGACCTATACTTCGTTTCCGCGAGCGTAAAAAGAGGCGACAAGTTCGAGCTCCGGGTATTCAGCGTCCTTGTTGAGCACTCGTACTAGTGTAGTGCAAACCTCTGTCAGGTTAGCATACTCGTGTTTATAGCTTCGTTGTTGTTGTTCTTCTCGCACATAAAGTGAAGCTAACTATAGTAAATACACGCTTCGCACCGACTTCACGTCGGTGACAACTGCGGTGGCATTGCTGTTGAGCGCATTGTTGCTTCTGAACAATACATCTCGCACCATCTGATTTCCTTTCCCTTGTCAATGACAAGTAAGAATGACCATCAGCCTGATGCTGTGAGGTCAAGGACAAGCCATTTTTTTATTTTGTTTATATCAAGGAGTACCTGATATTTCATCAACCCGCAAAGCTTTTCACACAACACCGAGCAAATATAGGGTAGTGGCGATGACAGGTCCGTTATATCCCACTCTTAACTTACCACCTTTCGGACATAAAAGAGCTCCGGTGTCCAAGTAGGGCACGAGTGTCTTGCTGTCTTTTGAGTCGCCCGTCAGTCACCCAAACGACAAGCGGCACTTTAGCTCGGCGTTTAAAACCCGAACCTCGAAAACTTCTCCACGGAATCGACTGCCTCGGCACCGGACACGAACGCAGCGATGATGGCCGGTCGTGCTGTTCGCCGCGGGAGCAGCGAAGTACGCTTGATTAATGGCGACCATATTTCGAGCGCGTTCTGGACCGCTGTTTTCCAACGACTTCGCGAGGTTTTTCTCCGCTCCATTAGCGTCTTCGGGGAAACAGCCTTTCTTAAGGTACTTGGAAGTTTCGTACCCGAGTGCCTGATGGCGTCGTTAGTTATCATTACGGAACAATATTGAAGAGCCGCAGTAGCCAATAGGCCACAGAACATAGTGGGGTGCTTTGTTAGTGACATATTTTTACAGGTCTAATTTATGCAATATATTGTATCCGTAACCTTGCTTTTTTGCGTCTTTGCAGGCAAAAAAATTATAAGTAAAGTAAACTTGAAATTATGGAATTCTTTGTATCCCTGGCCGTACTCTGTGCCGTTAGTGTGGATGCTTTGGCTCCACCCGCATTGTGGACCGAAGAATTCACCCCGTGCATCATGGAGAACCATGGATAAACAAGAACACGCTTCCCCTAAATTAAATCTGGGTCTCGAGGCGAATATCTTCTTTTTTTATATTAATGAACCCTTATAACTTGCGTGTATATAGAAATCAAGCCAGGCATAAATGTTTCGCTTAGGGGTCTTTAAACATCTTACTGCGAGCGACTTTTTATCTTCTTCGAAAGCAGGCTTGTGTAAAAACGTAAATTGTGAAAGGCATATAATCAATAGTCTGCAACGCTCAGTGCGCAGACTTGGTTCACGTCGGTGGGCGAATCGGCATTGCATACGATGTTGCTTTCGTGCCAAAGTCTGACCGGAAGTAGGGACCTCGTCAAGCTTAACATCGGGTTTGTGGCCTACGTTTTGGCATTTAGTACAAACCAAAAAAAAAAAAAAACAGAATTAAATATTTGTGTGTTTGTGATATATCTGTGTATATGTCTACGTCTATTGAGGAAAAAAGATCGCCATTATTTATTTTCGCGACTTTTTTTTTTTTTTTTTTTTTTGTTCGAAACACCATTTAAGCTTACGAAGATAAAAGTTTCCGGTAGTACTTTTGTCACAGCTAAATAAAACAATTATAATAAGTAGAATACGTTTTTTGGATCGGTATAGATCTCGACGCAATTGCGTGTTTACCAAGACTCGTGCAGCGACATCTTACGAGGAGATTACTGGTTGTTTCTATGTTCACTATTCGCTTACTCCAACCAGTGAGACCGAGGCGCAAGCCACGTGGGACGCTGTCAAAAGAAATTTCCCATTTTCCCACATTAGGTGTGGGCAGCGCGAGTGAGCAGAAATCATATTTGCAAGAACTGAAGCATTTGCGCGCATGCGCCGTGCCAACAGCAGCGCCACCACAACAGCGCCACCCGGCGGCGCTCGATGGTGTATAATCTTCTCTTCGTCGTAACGTTTTTTTTTTTTTTTTTTTTTTTATTTTTGCGTTTTACGTTTTTCTTCAGGTTACCGTCGTCCAAAACGTTGTGTATGTTAAAAGCGAATTTTGTTCTGTAGAAAGATTTCGCAATATTATCTAGAGTTTGTGTTAATTTCCATCTTCCTCCTCCTAACTCTAACGTCCTATCCAGGTTATTTACGCTTTGCCCCTGTAAATTTCATGTTTTTTTTTGTTTTTTTTTGTTTTGTTTTTTTGTTTTGCTGTCAGGCAGCGACACACCTTTTCTCGTTGCTTCCGCCTTCGTACAATCCACCCTGTCAACTTTAAGTTAGCAAATGAATGAACGAAGCCCGATAGCAACACCTGTCTTCCAGTCTCACTCCCCGTAATAAACCTGTCACACTGCGGTTTTTCCCATAATTTTCGATTGGAAGAGTGCACAAATAATTTTGCATTTATTTTGGGCTTACTTGCTTGTAGTTCTGACTATAGTGTTGTTTCATCTTTTTTTCTTAGGTATAATAAACATTGCACTTTCAATAGAGTCACTTGTGTTTCTCGTTGCGCGTGTTTATTTAGTGCTACGGCGAGTTTTTTTTTATTTTTT